GGTCCAGAGTTGGGAGTCGTCCCAACAGCTCCGGCTGAAGCTGCTTCAGAGAGGACTCGGACAAGTCACTCATCCGAGCTTCACGAGCCTCCTCGGCATACCTGCCTTCAGCCTCGATCAACTCGTCCGTGAGCCACAAGAACTGCTCATAGTCCGCGAAGCAGGAGTCCAGGACTCCCTTCTCCACATCCGAATCCTCGAGTTCAGCGTAAGCTTCCTCCACTGCGGCCCTTCGAGCATCCACCTGCTCGAACTGCTTCATCAAGTTATGGACCCTATCCGGTCGACCTATCAAAGCATGGGCGCTTGTGGCCCAGCGTAGCTCAGTCCGCAAACAACGGATCAGTAGCTTGGACGATGTCATCACTATTAAATGCAAATTACGACGCGGCTTGAGCACAGTTTACAAAGATAAAAAATAAAAAATACAACAAAAAATTAACAGTTAATAAATGCAGTTCCTATCAAATCGCGTTGAATAGAAATTACACAAATACGAACTACTTGCTACGTATCAACCAAATACAAGTTAGCACAAAAAAGACACAAATCAAATTAACAAATAACAAATACTAGTGCGATCGAATCAAGTTAAATTCAAATTGCGCAAATACAAATTACTACTATTTAGTTCAAATACAACTTACAGTATAAACGAAGATACACATCACGGTCGATCAACAAAAAATGCCTAGCTCGGAAATCGAACCTTCGATAAGTAATCCACTACAACTCTCCGACAACGATAATTAACCGATTACGTAAAAATAACCATCTACCTACATGACGTATATCTCTAGAAAATCTCCCGCTTGCACAACCTAGGGCGCGGCTTTTCAAATTACCCTCTAACCAAAAAAAAGGCAAGCAACAAAGCAACAAAGGAAAATAATTCTATTATTACGTACAAAAAAAATATTTTTACGTATTACGGACGGGCGTGATTGTAGATGCAAATTAAACCAATCACACCAACGCTCCCTGCCACCAAAATTGTTTAATGTTTATCAAACACTATAGTCGGGATCGACCGGGAATCGAACCCGGAACCACGCTCTGCTACCAGTTTGTTACGGCCTACGGCTGCTCCCTTAAAGGATCCAATCTTCAAGGGCCCATGAGCTGAAGACCTCCCGAACAGACGTAGGTCGGGCCTCCTAAGGCCACGTGGAATCTCTCTAATTACACTAAATATATGGGGGAGCGCTATACTACGGCCAGTCGACCGGAAGGAATTTGGCGGAGTTCACTTACCTCTATCCAAGGCGACTGGTCCCTCCGGAGTCGGTCAGGTCGCATGTGGTTGTGTAGTGCAAGGGAAAGAATGGTGATGTGGTGTGTATCTGGGTGTGACTGATGGTGATTGAACCTAGACCTTAGCCGTCGGCAGCAGCCCGAGCGTCGACACCGCTCCAACTTGAGGGGGCCTTTCGAGGTTATCCACAGTCACTTTCTTGGTTCACCACGATGACAGTCACTTAACTCTATCGTACTATTAACTAGCTTACAGAAGCCACTAACTATCGCGGGGTATAAGGTTACCGCACAAAACCCGCCCGGAGTTTCTGGGTCAAAGGTCACTACCGTTTCGCGTGGCAATAGATAGTTCTAAATACAGAGGCCGCACCAGCTTACATTGTCGAATGCACTTATACAGATTCTGAGTCGGACCCAATAAGTCCCGGGAAAGGCTATCCAAACAGGGAATGCGCGTTATAATTCCTAGACAGGATATTTACTAGACGCCCTAACTATTCCGCGGTTCCCGCACAAAATTAACAGCGTGCAACCATTAGCACATCTGGCAGATGACTGACGCGCTTGCGACCCGCGCGCCACTGCCACGATCGGAAGAACTTCAGACCGGAATCGCGCCGAGCCGAGTGACATCTGGTGTCGATTCCGACAACAGAGTTTTGCGCGAACACTATCACTAGAGAACAACTTTTAGATAGCGTCCAGCGAATAGTTACGGTGCAACGTAAATCTACTCCTTTTACAGCAAACAGGCCAGGGAAGAAATGGTTTTCTTCTTTTATTAAAAGACATCCGATATTAGCAGAAAGAACGGCCGAAAACCTCAGTGCAGCACGCAATGAAGTGACAGAAGAGCAAATAAACAACTGGTTCAAAGAAGTGGATGAATATTTGGCCGAAAAGGGATTGCTTGAAGCTCTGAAAGAGCCAAGCCGAGTTTTTAATGCAGATGAGAGCGCCTTTTTTCTTGCGCCAAAACCTGGACGAGTGCTTGTTAGACGAGGGGAAAAGCATGTTTATGCGGCAAGTGGCGATGAAAAAGAAAATTTAACCGTCTTGTTGACTGCAAATGCTGCGGGTACACTAGCACCACCCATGATTGTTTTCGCCTATGATCGAGTCCCGGACAGAATTTCTAGCAGTGTGCCAGGAGAATGGGGCATAGGAAAGTCGGAGACCGGTTGGATGACTGGTGAGACCTTCTACGAGTTTGTGACTAAAATTTTTAATCCTTGGCTGATTGTAAAAGGCATCCAGAAACCAATTTTGTTTTTTGTGGATGGTCATAGATCGCATCTTACACTTCATCTGTCCAAGTTCTGCTCTGAAAATGACATAGAAATTATAGCCTTGTACCCTAACTCGACCCACATTCTGCAGCCTATGGACATATCTCTTTTCAGACCGCTGAAAGTATATTATCGTAAAGCAGTTATCCAGTGGAAAATGGAAAATTCGGGAAACAAGTTGAAAAAGGAAAACTTTGCTCCCGTCTTTCAAAAAGCGTTAAAGAATATAACGACGGACTGCATTAAAAATGGATTTAGGGGCGGTGGTCTGCATCCATATGGTCCACAATATATTGATATGTCAAAACTCACAAAGCGGAATACTGTTTCTGATCTAGCAAATGAAAACCAAAATGAAGAAAGAAGCCATTTTTTACAATTTTTAGAAACCGAAATTACAAAACATTTTGGTCAAGAAAAGTTAGACCTATTTAACAGTCTTTATTATGAAGGAAGAAATGTTCTCGAAAACATGGCATTAGATGAAGATTTGAATCTCTATATAGTGTGGGCACACAACAAGCAAATGTCAATTTCGCTAGAATCTAGTTCCGCACCTGCTGCATTAAATAGGGAATCTTCACCGACTTCAGATAACGTATTATATAATAACACGTGTATTATGCAAGAAAATGTTATGCCAACAGACTTCGATGACAACGGCAAAGTAAGCAGTGCACTTGATCTCATAGCACCGTCAACCAGTGCACTAGATGGTGTCTCTGAAACAGTGGCATTCATACCAACGCCAAATACGCCATCAAAAGTTGATGAAGCCATATCTGATGCGAAATCCCATAATGATACAACAAGCGATATTCTGGGTAGCACAGTGCCATCAGTGTCAGAAATGCCGTCTCAAGAGACTGAAAAAATACCTATCGAAGACACAAGGGTAACGATAGGTAGTACAGTGACTTCTTCAATCGAAATTACAACGTCAGATACGTTAGCCAGGGTTGATGGATCCCTTTCTTTGGCTGCAAAAACTCCTGCAAAAAACACAATAAGTAATGCGCTAGGTGTCACAGTTCCATCGCCATTCAAAAAATGTCTTTTCTGGCCTGACAATGAAAGTACTAAGAAAACTAAGAAGAAAAAAGAAAAATTACCATCAGCTGTAACGAGCAAAGCATGGCAAGAATACCATGAAAAAAAAGCCGCCGAAAAAAAAAGAATTTTAGAAGAAAAGGAATTGAAAGCTAAGCAGAGAATCGAGAAAAAAAATATCAAAGAAAAACTTGCCAAGGAAAAGAAGGGTAAAACAAAATCTAAAAAACCAAAGATGCCTGAAATATCATCATCTGAAGATACAGAAGCTGAAATAGAATATATTGAAAGTGGCGAAAGCGAATGGAACGAAGAGACTGAATCAAATACCTATCAAGGAGAAATACTGGAAAAACAAAATGAACGTAAAGCAATGGATAAAAAGAAGATTTCAGTACAAAGGAAGAGAAAACGATCTATTACGGAAGATAGTAATTCTGAATCAGAGTTGCCTTTGACTCAAATAGCACATTCTAATAAAGTTAAAAATGCTAAAAAGGATATCAACAAGGGTTCTTTTGTCATCATTATGTATGAGGGTGAATATTTCCCCGGAAAGATTGAAAATAAGGAACGAGGTCTCTTTGAAATAAGTACAATGGTACTTTCTAATGGGAACACTTTTAGGTGGCCAGAAAGGCCAGATAAAATTTGGTATAAAACTACTGATATAGTCGAAGTTATAAATCCTCCTATCAAACATAATAACAGAGGCTTTTACAAAGTACCAGAAATGGAGAAGTTTTTGCCTGACATTTATATGACCTAGATTTTAAGACTGTGGATTTAAAGATTTTTATTTCATTTATTTTTTAGTCTATTGTTTGATGGGAATTTTGCCTAACATATAAATGTCCTGGATTTTGAGACTTATTAGAATAAGATTTTTCTATTTATATTTAGTGTATATTTTTTAACCCGTTTTTCTAATTAATGGGTAAAACAGGGTTAAATTTGATCTCTCAAGTTGTGATTATTAAATAAGGTGGTTATTATAAAGAAAAAGAATAAAGACTGTGTAGTATGTAAGAGTAGACACCTAAGTTGTTAACTGCTCTTTTGAGACTTCTATTTACAAGAATACCTCAAGCTTTTTTTGACCCTAATAAGTAAAATGTTTCTGCTGTAGTTGCTTTAACTTGATTTGTTATTTTGATTTGTGATAAATAAATAATAGTACTTTTTAATTTGCAAAACTGTTTTTTATAAAGTTGAGGTTTCCTTCTTATATTTGTTAATAAACTTTAAAATTTTTCAAAGAATTTCATTTTAAACTGGTGAATTTAATAACCTTCCAACATTGGGTGTCCATCATGGGATACATGTCCAACATTGAGTATCCATCACTGGAGAAGTGCCGTCCATAAATGGAGTTTTTGTGCCTTTTTGAGTTTTTCTTTATTTCATCAGAAACAATAACACTATATAAATTATATATGTACGTGTAATAAAGCATGTTTATTGGTCTACAATTTGATAATAGTCATAACATTGTATCTTTGCAAATAGATGAATAGTGATTAAAAATGTAAGACCAAATTCTTAAACTGTCCATAATTGGTGCCTTCACGTTATATCATTTCTATACTTCCCAGTTTTGGTATGGACTTTTACATTATTTTTAAAGATTAGTACCAATGTAGATAACACAATAATAGCATTTAGTGGTTGAGTGAAACATGATATTCTAATTTCTAATATTAAGGTGAATGTTACATGTCGAAATCAAACTATTTTTAACGGATTTATAAATCATAAAACATGTAAAAGTTATAATGCGATTATTGTTTTGACTTGGTATTCTAGTGTTACATGAACTTCAGTAATATCTTACTATTATTATTAAGTACATCGAAATTTGGAAGACGTGCCGTATGGTGTATTAATTAATAAATACTACTTCTAGGCACCCGTCCCTACCATAGGTTCAAGTGCAGATATTGCAGCTAAAAATACGGAAATTCCTGTGGCCGGCACATCGTTGAAAAAATTGGTATGATTATAATAAGAATTAATTAAATGATTATAATTTGTATAAATAAACAATAAACGTATTATAAGTACCTTAATAATTATTAGTAATATTTTAAAAGAAACGAATACGTATTTCAGATTACTGGTTCGCCGCTGGAAGACGCAAAAAACTCTCCAACATCTAAAAATCTGAGCCATTGCTTAGAAACGCCTACAAAACATTAAAGAAAATTTTCTCCTATACCTGATACGCCATCTGCATTTGATACTCCAGTTAAAAACATCTTTATAGAAGAATCATCAAATTAACCAACGTAATGAACAGAAAAGATAAAAAAATTAAAAAGTTAAGTGATTCCAACAGAAGACTAAAAAGACAAATAGTTTCTTTGAAGTCATTATTGGTAGAACTAGAAAACAAAAATTTATTTACAGCCGAAAACAATGACGTATTAAGTTCCTTAGGAGTCAAATGTGGTGAAATTATGCTTCGTCAAATATTGAAAGGAAAAATAGGCAAAATTGTTAGAAAAAAATGTTCACTACAGTTGAGAGCTTTTACACTCACCATAAATTTTTACTCAACTGAGGCTTATAATTATGCACACAAAACATTTAATACTTGTTTTATCCTCTGTAAAAACACTAGGAAAGTGGTACAGATCTGTAGATGGTCGCCGAGGTTTTGTAACACAAACATTAAGCAGTTTTGTTAATGAGGATATTTTTCCTGAAATAAAAAATCACCAATTCGATCACGAAAGTTATAATCATGTCATTGATTTAGCTAAAAGTGTCATGGCAAAATACATTGACATATGATTACTCTACTTATCCAGGAAGACAGACCCTAAGAATTCGGTGAGACAATTTTATACTAAGCTTATACATTTTAAAAACTCTGTCAAACATGTATTTATAAGTTAAATGTACAAATATATGTATACATTGGTTAATTTTTAATATACATCAAATAAAAATTGATCAATATATTTATTTATAAATAATCAATAAATTCCAAATTTATCGATCAACGTCCCAACCCTGTTCAATCACTACAGTTTGGTGCATTCTAAGTTTGACCTGTAAATGTCCAATCACAGCGCATTTGACACGTCCCCCACAACCCTTGCATACCGCCACATTTGGTCAACTCAAAACAGAACAAATATTCAATGATGCGGTATCTATTAGGGGGTAATCTATGGTTTATCCTTTAAATTTAAAGACATTTTTTTCATTTCAATAATTAACATTAACATTGAGGGTTGTGAGGGCTTGTGATACTACATAGCTATCCAAGCGTTAATTAATAAGAGACTGATAAATACAATCACACTGTCAGTCTACCAATAATCTAACCAAGACAATCAGTTGGACCAGACTGATGGACTGGAGTGATGACAAACTGAACACTACATCTGATAAGATATTATAAAACTAAATAATACATAAGAAGTTACAGGCTTAAAATGCTCCAATGCTGGACACAAGTCTCTTATTTCTAAGAGGATTATGCCAGCAAATTTTGGCACATCTGGTGCAAATACCAGGACATGATCAACAGTCATACTACAATATATCATTTCATTTCAACAGTCACACTTACAATCACTAGACCAACAAAACAGTTATTTGGTTAACAATAAGCAAAATAAAAAAAGATCATAGTTTTAATTATTAATTCATCACTTTACAATAATTCTGTAATTGCATTTTTTATTTAAATCTATATAATTATCTATTACTTTTTTGCATTGATTTAATGTACACACATCTTCGTTAACAAGACAACTCCTAAGAAATTTATATTGTGACTGCATATCTTTACACATCAAATAATTAACAAACCAAAGTAATGTATTGTCTGCAATTTTATTTTCCAAACTTTTTAAGCAGTACATATCATATTTACTTAGCAGCCCTTTTTTATTACATTTATCATAAATCAATATATTTTTTGTTTTATTATTTGGCACATTTAAATTTTTATTACCAATGTTTTTGTTATATATCCAATCGAATTTAATGGGTTCAAATCTGTGATCATTCAAATAAGCAGGAATGTCAGGAGGTTCAATAAAATCATCTGAAAATAATGAAATAGAAGCATAATAATTGATGTAGGCAATAAACATTGAAGTTTTGTAACTCGATCTGTATTTGTAACTGTATCTATAGGTTTAAAAAACTTAAAAGATTTAATTGTTACTATTGTAAAATAAAAACAAAAATTGCCACTTACCGGGAAATTCATCGTCACTTTCTAATATTTCCTCAAATTTTTTTGTGTTCTTTTGAGTAGTCATATTTTCGCCGTAGAAGTAAAGCTTTTTCAGAACTCTCACTAAAGAGTAGATGGTATAAACCTTACCCAAGTGGAGTACAAATCACTACGTTATAAGAGGCGGAGGTAGTACACATAATTTATAATTTCAAACTTTGTATTTGTAATTATGTTGGGCGTTTCTAGTTAGTTTTGTGAACAGCGTTGCCAACACCAATTTGTCAATTTCCCCAATTTAAGGACAAAACTTCAACAGATTCTCCACAAATTTTCCTCAATTTTTATTTAAAGAGATAAAACAATTTTCAACTAATTTTATAAGATTTATTTTTAAGTAACATTTTTTCTTTTTTTACCGAAATTTGTTTCACTTCCCATATTTTTGTAACAAGCATTTTACTCCATGGACTATTTTTAATTCCTTCCCTTGTTGCCATTAAAAAGTACAACAGTATCTGCATTTATATGCATGCGGTTCAAAATTAAAAAAATAAAAAAAACGAAAAGCATTAAATGATACACAAACGTTGCCGAAATAAATCCAAAAATTAAATGTGGTGCAATGAAGGTAATTAAAAAAGGATGTCATTCGATATTCATAATAAACGTACAAAAAATTTTAAGATATTTCGGTTCCTTGAAAAAAGTTTCTGACTTGGCCCAGGCTATATATTTCAAAATTTCCGCATTTTCCCCGCATAATACCAATCCCCAACCAACTTTAAATTCCCCGTAATTTGGGAAATTCTCCACATATTGGTAATGCTGTTTGTGATTAAAGCAGTGTTGCTATCGTAGAAATCTGAGTTGCCGTATGCCACGGGCTGGTTTGCCGTATTTTAAGAAAAAATTTTACTAAATTGCCATATTTCATTATTTATTTTAAAATTATCTATATCCTTAAGCAAGCGGAATCGGGCTGTCGTGAGGGCTCTCAACCCAATGCTGGTAACCTATTTGGTAGCCAGCCGGGATCTTTGCGAGACGGACTCAATTCTCTTTGGTGCCGCACTGGCAGTTTGCCGTATTATTGGCGCCAAACTTCCCACGGCTGGTCGCGCTACTAGGCAAAGTAGCGCTATCCCAGCCTGGAGAAGAAGGATTGAGGACCGCATCGCAAAGGCAAGGGCTCTCATCGGCAGACTGATAAGCTTCAGGTCGGGCAATAATAGGCCGAGAATTGTGCGCACCGTTAGGATGGCGTTTGCTGGGACAAATATCAGCTTGTCCCAGACGGATATAATGCAAAAACTGACGAAGCGCATAGACGACCTGAAGCAGAAAATCGCTGCTTGTGGGAAGCGGTTTCGGCGATATACCGAGAGAACGACACGGTTCAACCAAAATCGTCTCTTCCAGATTGATCAGAAGAGGCTCTATGAATCATTGAAGCGGCCAATGGTACGTAGAACGGGCCCAGCACCGCATCAGGCCGACGTTGTCGCATTCTGGCGCGGCCTGTGGTCAGAGCCCGTAAACCACCGCGAGGGCCCTTGGACGGAAGTTGTGGCGAGTCTGTGTGCGAATGTTACGCCCATGGCCCCGTCGTCATTACGCCGAATGACGTAGCTGAGGCGGTTCATAGGGCCCCGAACTGAAAAAGTCCGGGACTCGACGGACTGCATCACTACTGGCTGAAGGGGTTCGTGGTGTGTCATGCTGTGCTCGCCCGACAGATCCAAGAGGCTCTTGACCAAAAGTCACTCCCGAGCCTCTTCACTACTGGGATTACTCATTTGGTTCCTAAGACCAGGATTCCACAGATCCGAGCAAATACCGCCCCCATAACGTGTCTACCTACCATATACAACACTAACATCCATTTTGAGCGCGAGAATCACTTGTCACCTGAACTCAAATCAGGTGACGTTGCGCGCTCAAAATGGATGTCGGGGCGGTGGTCGTGGAACCAAGGAACCACTCCTCATTGACGCGGTCATTGGAAAGGTGGTTAAACGCAACCGTCGGTACCTCTCCGCCGCCTGGATAGACTACAAAAAGGCATTCGACTCGGTGCTTCATACATGGCTGAAGAGGGTCCTCGAGCTGTACAAGGTTGACTATACAGTTCGAGACTTCCTCGGGCAGTGGATTACGATCCTTTGTCATCTAGGCGAGCGGATGATGGCTGCGGAGAACCACATAAGGATAAGAAGGGGTATCTTTCAGGGCGATTGTTTGAGTCCAATCTGGTTCTGCCTCTCTCTGAACCCTCTTAGTACCTTACTGGTGGGTTCCGGGAGGGAATTTCAGCTTCGGAAAGGAGGTAAAAAAGTGACCCACATTTTCTATATGGATGATCTCATGTTATTCACCTCCAGTCGCTCTCATCTTATGGAATTGCTAAACATCACTTGTGATTTTAGCAATTCTATTAGAATGGAGCTGGGGACGGATAAGTGTGTGGACCTCCATGTCGAAAGGGGTAGGGTTGCTAATTCTGAGGGCATAGACTTGTCTATACCCATCAACATAAAGACCCTATCTGAGGCTGAAACATACCGATACCTGGGTATGTCACAGAACATAGGTATCGATGAGGCGGACATGAAACGGTCGGTTTGCGATGTGTTTTATGCACGCTTGACAAAAGTACTTAACAGTCTTTTGTCAGGGGTTAATAGGATACACGCATATAACGGTTGGGTCATGCCTGTTCTCATGTATACATTTGGCACACTCAGATGGACTCAGACCGAACTGAACGCTCTGGATAGAAAAGTCCGCACTATTATGACGTCCCACAGGATGCATCATCCGAGGTCATTAGTAATGAGGCTGTACTTGCCGCGGATGCATGATGGACGCGGCTTTTTAAGCGCGCTTACCATGCATAATCGCGAAGTGTGCAGCCTCCGCAATTACTTTCTGACGAGAGTGGATGATCCATTCTATAGGGACGTTATTTCTTGTGATAAAGGACTTACTCCTCTATCCTTAGCGCACGAGCAATGGCAAGACCCGGCAGTACAGAGCATTTCCGACCGGGAGACCGTATGGAAGGAGAAGTAGCTCCACGGTAGGTTCTACAAGGCTCTACATGAGCCTTTCGTAGACACAGTCGCCTCCCTCCACTGGTGACGTTTCGGGGACCTTTTTGGGGAAACCGAGGGTTTTGTCTGTGCAATACAGGATTGGGTTATTAATACCAACAATTATCGGAAATACATCCTAAACGATGGCGCCGTCGACATCTGTCGAGCTTGTCGCCATCCCGTTGAATCACTTAGGCATGTCATTTCCGGTTGTTCGGCGCTTTCTAACTCTGAGTATTTGCACAGACACAACCTAGAAGCCAGGATTCTACACCAGGAGCTCGCTCTGAAATTAGGTCTCGTGGATCGGAAACTGCCATATTATAAGTACTTGCCGGAAGTCATGCTCGAAAATGACCACGCCACGCTCTACTGGGACCGGGCCATCATCACATACAGGACTATTCTTGCGAATAAGCCTGATATTGTGCTAATGGACCGGGCACAGTCAAGGATATTTTTGATCGACATTACCATTCCTTATGACGAGAACCTCGTGAAAGCTGAAACAGATAAGCTGACAAAATATCTGGACCTGGCTCACGAGGTGACCGACATGTGGGGTGGTGTGCCGACCAAAATTATTCCTGTGGTAGTTTCTGCGAACGGGTTAATCCCAGTAAGCCTCTCTGGTCATCTGAGGCGACTGGGACTCCGTGACGGACCGCTCCAAGCTCAAATACAAAAGGCGGTGCTCCTCGATATCGTCCGCCGGTTTCTTTCCCTTTCCCCCTAACCCATGGCCGTTTGGTCTCCCCTGCCGAGGGCTTCCCTCTGGTTGGGTTTTTATTTATTTATGTATTTTTTATGTATTTATTTAACTTTATTGATATTTATGTATGTTTATCATTTTCATTTACAATTATATATATATAAACATCCCAACCAGATGAGAAAACTTTACAGATACCCCAAATAACAATAATAATAATAATAATAAAAATACTTAAGACTAGTGTTAGTATATAATTTCTTTTTCTTTATGTTCTTAACAAATTAACCATCCCGCGTACATTACATATATCTTACTTATTTAGTTTTACATGTAGACTTAAACAATGCCTCATAATGGTCGAGTCCCACCTATCAACAACTGTGTTTAGGATGCTGTTGGAAGAGTTACGCAGACGACTTAGTAACGAAGCAGACCTTAGTAAGTAGAACAATACTAAATGGTGTTAATCTGTAGTACTAATCCGCTTAAATAAACACGGTCGCAATCGCTTTTTGGTCCTAGTTTGTCTTGATCTCGGAAGTATTTAGAACAAATGAGAGTAGATTTCGAAGGCACCCAGTGAGTCTCCTTTCTCAGCAATCGTATTATTTCCACCCACTTCTTGCGCTGTGCTGCATCTTTAGGTACCCTGCAAAATTATTAATATAAAAGAGGTAATAAAATATAATTAATAGATCTTTCATTAATATTCTAAAATAAGAATAATTAATTCTTTTGTATAAAGGTTTAAACATAGTTTTTATTATAATTTCCAAAATATTTAAAATCAGAGATAACAAGTTAACTTATTCCATAAATTATATAGTCGTAGTAAAGTAATGATGGAAAATTCCAAAGGCAGAATAGTGGCAACATTGAACCGAATTTGCAATATGTTTTTTACGTTAAGGCCTTAACAGTGTCAACCAACCAACCAATGCTTAAATCTAGGATATTTAAGTAAAAAAATCTCAATAACTGTTCATTTAATCCACAAAGAAAAAAATACAGGGTAACAGAAGAAGATTTGGAAAATGTTTTAATTTAACAAAATTGTATTTTTGTCAACCCGTTATTAGAAAAAAAATCCCCAAAGAGTACCTATCTTTGTCATATTTTGCAAAATTTCTCCAAACCGGCACAAGCTTTTTAAATAGTTCTTACACTAAAAAAAAGGTCTTAAATATATTAATATTTTTAATTGAGAGTTTTATTTTTATTACCCGTTTTATAAGAGAATATATCATTTTTCCCTGAAATTGAATATGTTTACGCGAGCGCGCATGCTCCGTCGCCATGCTAGCTAGCTTGCTACATATATATTTATCTATGGTCCGTTTTCGGACATCGTCGAGG